AGCTGCAGGGAGACATCCTCCTCCCTTACATGCTTTTTGTCAAAGCTCTGCCTCCTCATCAGTGATTGGCTCCTGCTTTCCTCTCCCCCCCCCATCCTGAGGCTTGAAGGGTGCCTGGGAAATGTAGGCCTGCAGGAAGGTTTGCAGTGGCCCGTATGTGGCCTGTTGCCTAACAGCAGTGGCCTGCTGCCTAACAGCCCCCCAGCCCTAGCACCATAGCAAACAGGGAAGGGGGTAAGACAGATCCATGGAGAGATCGATTAAGGGTTTTTGTCTGTGATGGCTAAATGGAATCTCCATCTTCAGAAGCCGTGTCACTCTGCCGTTTGCTGTGGGGCAACAACAGGGGGGCAGCTTTGGCTCCACTGCCTTGGAGACTTTTGGGAGCATTTGACTGACTGCTGTGGAAAGCTGGGTGCTGGTAGGGATGTCAGCCTCCAGATGGGACTTGGGGATCCCCCAGAATCACAGCTCAGCTCCAGACTACAGAGATCAGTTCCCCTGGAGAAAATGGATGCTTTGGAGGGCGGGCTCTATGACATTGTACCTCACTGAGGTCCCTGTCGTCCCCAGGCTCCATCCCCAAATCTCTAAGAATTTTCCAAATGGCCCCCCCTCCCCCCCCCCCCCCAAGGTGCTGGACTAGATGGACCGTAATTGTGATTCAGTAGGGCCTTTAAGTTCTTAGACAGGAGATGCCAGGGTGGCCACTTCTGTTACCAAGTTTCTGGGTTTTTTTAAAAAAAATATATGAAAATTTTATAAAACTGGATTCTGATGCTGGGGAGCTGGAAAGGAATCTTGAACACAAATATTTGTGTTTGGGTTCAATGGATTTCTTGTTTGTGGCATATTTGTGCCGCAGTGAAGATGAGTAGTGCTTGTTTTGGGCTGCTGCTGAGTATCTGCCCAAGTAAGTAAGGAGTGGTGAGGCATCAGTGTGAACACTGAAGTCTAAAAGCTTCCTTATTAAAAAAAAAGGGAAAAACCAGTTTTGTATAGTCGTTAGGAGCACAGACTCTAATCTGGGAGAGCCAGGTTTGATTCTCCACTCCTCCACATGCAGCTTCTGATATGACCTTGGGTCAGTTACAAGTTCTTTCAGAGCTGTTCTTTCACCAGCAGTTCTTGAGAGAGCTCTCTCAGCCCCCCCACCTCACAAGAGGAAGAAGAAGATTGGATTTATACCCCACCCTTCACTACCCAAAGGTGTCTCAGAGCGATTTACAAACTCATTTCCCTTCCCTTCCCCACAACAGACACCCTGTGAGGTAGGTGGGGCTGAGAGAGCTCTCGACAGAAACTGCTCTTTTTCAAGAATAGCTCTTATCAGAACTACGGCTTGCCCAAGGTCATCCAGCCAGGTGCAAGTGGAGGAGTGGGGAATCAAACCCAGTTCTCCCAGATTAGAGTCCGCGCACTTAACCACTGCACCAAACTGGCTCTCAAAGTGTATGTTGTGGGGAGGGTAAGGGAACGGAGTTTGTAAGCCGCTCTGAGTAGTGACGGGTGGGGTATAAATCCAATCTCTTCTTCTATCTCAGTAGATGCAGTTGCTGTGATCCTACATATATCACTGTGTGCTGTTATCTATTGGAGTACCTGTAAGATTCTAGACACTGTACATGCAGTGAGAGGGTCACGAAGGAGTAAACAAGAGATCTTTGCATTAGCTGAGCTATACTACATTACAGAAGAGAAAGTGGACGATAATGAGGGAAATTTGACAGTCTGTTTGACAGCCTGTGCTGTGAGACTGTGGCACATGTGCAGCATCCTGAGGAGGTGTGCTCTCTGCAGATGAAGTGCCAGCAGTTTGTGATGCAGGAGGTGAAGGGCGGGGCCTGGCGTGGGCTGCCTGGTCCTGCACTGTGAGTCTTGTTGGGCTAGGGAGTATTGGAGGAGGAGGATGTATTGCCAGATTTTCTACCAAATCCTGTTTAGCTTGTAAGAGCTGATGCAATCCTCATCAGGAGAAGGAGGAGGAGGATCCAGTCCTTGTCTTTTCATTGGGCCCTGGGAAACTGCTTCAGCACTAAAGCCCATATCAGCAGAGCACAAGCCTCTGATTATGGTCTCCCTAACTTGCATTGTTTCAGATACCATCGGCAGGAGGGGAGGGGGCATGAACAAACTTCTCAAAATGTTTGAGCTCTCCAGGGGATTGGAGAGTGGCTGGGCTGACTAAAGGCAGGGGCTGACTAGGACATTAAAATGGCTAACGGCAAGCCTAAAGATGCCGTGGGCTACCCCCCCCAACAAATAAGTGGGTTGTAGATCAGATCAAGCCTGAATTTTCCCTAGAAGCTAAAATGGCTAAACTAAGGCTATCATACTTTGGTCACATCATGAGAAGACAAGACTCACTGGTAAAGACAGTAATGTTAGGAGAAGAAGAAGAAGAAGAAGAGATTGGATTTATACCCCGCCCTTCACTACCCACAGGTGTCTCAGAGCGGCTTACAAACTCATTTCCCTTCCCCTCCCCACAACAGACACCCTGTGACGTAGGTGGGGCTGAGAGAGCTCTGACACAAACTGCTCCTTTCTCAAGAACAACTCTTATCAGAACTACGGCTTGCCCAAGGTCATCCAGCCAGGTGCAAGTGGAGGAGTGGTTAATCAAACCCGGTTCTCCCAGATTAGAGTCCGCTCACTTAACCACTACACCAAACTGGAAGATGAAGGCAGTAGGAAAAGAGGAAGGTGTAGTATGAGGAAGACATAGTATGAGATGAATTGACTCAGTAAAAGAAGACGTAGCCTTTAGTTTGCAAGACCTGGCCAAGGCTGTTAATGTAGGATGCTTTGGGGATCATTAGTTCCTAGGGTTGCCATAAGTTGGAAGTAATATGACAGCGCGCATGTGTGTACACACACACTCACAGGGATAAGCCAAACTGAGCATCCTCCACAGGAGCTACTCAGCTTGTACCGGGCCAACAGTGCCAATGATGAGATTTGGCTCTCCAGTTGCCACCCCCTGCACTGCTGCCAGCTTACAGCAGAGTGAGAGGAGGCAACAGGTGAGCTGACACCAGTTACTGTTGCAGTTCCAAAGGTTTGAGCCAAGTAGCTTCTGCAGCCAGATAACAGCTGTGGGGAACTTGCTTATTAACACATGTGCATCCACAGAGGTGATAGAGAGTGTGTAGAAGCAGTGGAATGATGGATAGAAACCATCTGCCCTGTCCTTGTATTAAGCTTGTGAGAGGCTGCCTTTGTCCCTGGAGAATTCCAGTTTCTGCTATAACTTGTGACTTTCCAGCTGTGTTCTTGAGAGAGCCTCAAAGAGGCCTGTAATGGCCGACAACTTTTCTTGAAAGGCAGCTTGTTCATTGCCGTTGCCACTTTGAGGAGCCTCCCTGGTTGCCCTGGATTTGAGTGGGGTGGCGGTCTAGGAAACAGTCTCTGTTCACATTGGGTGTTGGCGAAGAAGCTTGGTTGGTGCCTCTGGTGAACTCAGTATGCGTACCCTTGCAGAATCTTCTGCTATGCTTCTTAATAGACATTTACTGTGAGGGAGGGAGTGCATATGTATAGGTATGTACAGGGTGCCACTTAATGTGCTGCTTATTTGAGCTACTATATGGAGCTAAGTTAAAGTGGTGGTTAAAAGAACAAGCTGTGAACCAGGAAATCCCCAGCTTACATATTGGCTTTGTGATAAATTCAGCAAGTGATCTTAGATGAGCTGCTGTGTATCACTCCTCTTCCTTCCCATCCCAAAGCTAGACTATGGAGATGATAGTACCAACCACCCTTAAAAGGTAGCCAAAAGGAAAAGCTTTGGAAAGTGGCATCCACCAGTGAGCATTTGGGAACAACCATGATGACCACTGCAGAATGCAAGTCAACGTCTTGAGCTTTTTGTTATCCTGCTTTCCAAAATGCACCAGCAGGTCTAGGTGCAACTCTGCGGGATCCCAAGTGCAGCAGGGTGTGCATGAATGCTTGTAATTGAAACAACCTCTTTGAATGGATTTTAAAGTGTTTCTTTTTCTTCCAGTGTTTTGAAGCCCACTTGGATGTTCTGGTTCACATGGCAGCAGCAAACTTGACTCCCCCCAGCTCTCTGGAAGTAAACAAGCCGGGGTTTCCAAAGGAGATCCTTGGGACTGAGTTAGAGGGGAAGTACCTGTGTACAGAGTGCAGGAATATTTTGAGGCGGCCGTTCCAAGCCCAGTGCGGACACCGCTACTGTTCCTCTTGCCTGAAAAAGATCATAAGGTAATTATACCTTTGCTTTGGGTAAGAATAAGGCTTAGTTAATGCACACCTGTGCACTTATGGTGGGTGAGGAAGTAAACTTGTGTTGAACTGTCTGCTTTAGATTGTAGCTGGCAGCTTGCTAGACTAAGGCTGTATGGAAAGGCCTCCTGCAGGTGGAGAGCCAGCTTCATAAGATCAAGCCTCTATGGAAAGACTGTTTGCAAACAAAGTTAGCATGTTAGGGAAAGGGCCAGGCTAGAATCCTCCATGACATAGCTAGTTTTTATACACAGAATATTTTTTTTTAAATGCAGAACCATTCAACCATGTGATCTCCCCTTCTGTGCACATCTGCCATCTGAAATGGTACAGTCCAGAAACAGACTCCCTACACTTTTGTTTGGGCACTAGGCCGAAGTTCCAAGTAGACTACTGGATGGAACGTGGTTTACCTTTGAAAGACTGGGAGAGACCTAGTGTGGTTAGAATGTTGGACTAGAACTTGGCGGACTCTGGCTTACTTCAAATCCTTACTCAGCCATAAAGCTCCCCGGGGTTTCCTTGGGCCAGTGGCTATCTCTTGGCCTAATGTTTTTTGCAGAGCCAGGTGCAGGATCATACGTGAGGATGAAATAGAAGGGAGAGTCACGTGCACCATTTCAAAAATATGTAAACTGGTGGGATAAAAACTTACATAGTAAAAGCCTAGTTAACCAACATGCCCATCTGAATCATTTAAGCTTTGCCTGCTCAGCACTGTTGTCCTCTCGCTGCCAGTGGAGTGGCTGCAAGCCTGTGGGTGATTTGGTTGGGTGGTGCAGGCGAGAACAGCCCTGCTTGAGTGGGCAGCATTGGAGCAGGCTGTGGGTCCCATCCATGG